CGGGGGGAGAGCGTGGGCCAGAGCCCGGCTTAGTGGCACAGGAGACAGGCCGTCTGTGCCGCACAGGATGTGGCTGGCAGGGCCTCACCCTCAGGTAGTCAAAGATGTTGCAGATAAAGGTGACGTAGCAGACCCAGCCCTGCAGGGAGCGGGCTCGAAGCTGCTCCCGAGCCTGGTACTCCTGCTGCAGCCGGTTGAGGAGTCCGCGGCGGAAGACACTCTGGCCTGCTTGCTTGCTCTCTGCCTGTGAGCCAGGGAAAGGGTGGTGAAGGGCAGTCACTGGGCCGTCGCAACTCCACCCAAGCTTCCAAGGCCGAGGACCCTGCTGTCCTCCTCTCTCGCCTCTGAGGCCAGCCCTTTGCATCTCTGCCCTGCTGGCCAGGCCTCTGCCCACTCCTGAAGCACCTTCCTCAAAGCGTCCCCTTCTCTACCAGCCCCACCCAACCTGAATGATGGCGTAGCACATGCGTCCTGCTTCCTTGCTGAATACACAGTCCTGCAGAGAATGGTCCACAATCACATTGGCCACTTTCTCCAAGTCCACGGCACCTGGATCTAGGGTAAAGACAGGTGGGGAGTCTAGAGCTGCTTAATTATCACGTTTGCCTCCACCTGCTTCTAAAGGAGTCAAGATATTCACAGAAGAGCAGTCCCATTATACGCTTCCATTTAAAGAGACCAGGAAACAGAGAGGAAACTACACACAGGAGCAGCTGCAGCCGTGAGCCTCCTGATGGCCCAATCAGAAGAAACAGGGAGGGTTGTGTGGCTGTTAGAGAATCAAAGAACGCTCGTTTTTTTAGGACACGTCTTTTCCTAGCCCTAGGCTGAGGCTGGAACACTGAATGCCAATGCCTTTGACAGCCATTTCACGGAAGAAAAGTGTTCTTATAATACACACACATGAACCCCTGACAAGAGCCGGCCAGGCAGGGCCTCCCCACAGACTCAGCTTGGCACGTGATGGGCACTGCTAATCGTTAGCTGAGTCAAACTTCTGTCCTGAAAGTGCTGCAAGAAGGCACTGGTCCAGGACAATTACTGTAGCTCCCCTGCCGAGCAGAACACTCCATCCTCTGTCCCACGTCAGGCAGCTCTGCACATTCAAGAGAGCTGGCTGTAGCAACGCACAAACCAGGTCCAGCGTAAGGACTTAAGGGGCAGGAATTGTGTTCTCTGTGCCTCACTCTCCTCTCATGGGCACCTAAACTTTAAAAAAAGGCTTTACAATCCGAGGGGGTGACTCTGATTCATACTGCCAAATACTGGCCTAAATGTAGCTTGTCTTCCAGTTCCAGAATTACGTTGCTGACTCCTATTCTGAGAAAGTGAAGGGAGAGGGCTGGGCAAAGCCGGGCGAAGGCTCGGTACTCCAGGCCTGGCCCCTTGGCCCCTCCTCTGTGGCTCTGGGCCCAGGCTCAGGGGGCTCCGCATGCTCACCTTTGAGGGCTGTCTTCAGCAGCTGCTGTGTCGCTGCATCAAAAGACTGCATTTTATACTCCTCTCTCCTGGGCTCCCCCATGACCATCCAGCTGCAGCAGCTCTTTCCGAGGTTGGGACTAATGACAGCACCTGGAGAGGAGAGGCAGCAGGAGAGGCCTCAGGTGTGGCGCACGGGGCCAGGGCTCCTAGCTCTCCCGGCCCGTGGCAGGACTGGCCAGTGCTTGAGACAGGTGCTCCTGGGCAGTCCATGGCATTCAGTGGTTGGCTGGGTGCCCGCCAAGCTTGGCTTCTGGTGGAGACTGGGCACCAGCCAGGCACCTGCTGCTCAATTAAAGAACCCCTGTAGCTTCTGGGATTACACAAGAGTAAAGAGATGAAGGGTGAATGCGTCTACCCTCCAGTCCCAGCAGCAGGCAGGGTTTTTCTCAGCTGACACCAAGGGGTGGGGTGAGGGTGGATATGTGGATATTAAACACTTCCCCTGCCTATATATAAGCCGACCTGGAAGCTGCTGGTCCAGCATGGCTCCTGGCGAATGAGAGGGCTAGGGTCTCCACGCTTCGGACAGCTCTGTCCCAGCAGGGGTCCAAGCCCCTCTCTGCAACCCTCTCCCTCCCTTTAGTCAGAGTCCTCGGCCCAGAAATCCCACTCCTCCTGCCCTCGGGGTGGGGCCGGCCAGAGGGCTGGGTGCAGAAGCGTCTCTGCTGCCCTGACTCCCCTCGTCCTGGCCAGCTTCTCCCCGGTACAGACTAATTAAACTGGCCTCTCGAGTGGCAGAAACTCGGCCCTGCCCGCTCAGGACTCCCTGAGAGTCCTGAGCTCCATTCTGGATCCTTCCTTAAGGAGGGGAGCGAGGTGACGTGTCCCCCAGAGGTGGTCCCCTTTGGAGTCTCCTCTCCGCACTCGGTGCCTCCCCCATGGCCAAAGGAGAGGACCTTAGGGGTCTCCAGACCTGGGCAGCTTCCCGAACGCCCTTCCCGTGGGCTGGAGAGTTGGCGGGAGCGCCGGGACCCACCTGCCGCGCCGGCGCCACGCCCGCGTGCCCGAAGGCCGCTCGAGGGGCATGCTGTGCGCGCCTCGCCGCCGCTTAGGTCATTTCCTAGCGCGGTGGCGCGGCGGGACCCGGGGCGGCGGGGCGGCGGGGCGACGGGGCGGGGCCTGGGGCCGCCTCGCCAGCGCCACCTGCCGGAGCCCCGACGTCGCTGCCCTCGCCGCCCGGCCAGGCCTGCCCGAAGGTTCCTGGCACGGGGCCGCGCAGAACGCCCGCGACACTGCTTCCACCGCCCCTGTCCGCTCCTCACCCGGCTCTCCCACGGGCTATCCGGGACCACACCGGCTCCTCGGTACTGGGGTGGACCTGCTCCTCAGCCCGCATTAAGCCCTGGGTCTTGAGCGCTAACACTAACCCTCTCCCCGCCCCACGCTAGAGCTCAGGTTAAAACGGGGTCAGGGGACTGGCCCGGCCGCGCGGCGTGGGAGGGGCCTGCGGAGGGCGTGGTCCGCAGCCGGGCAGCGGGAGGGAGAAAGGTGGGAGGGCAGAGAAGAGGGCTGGAGGGGCAGGACTTAACAGGTGGTGGCCGTGTGCTCCCCACTCCCACCCCCTCCCCCCAAAGCGGAGAAGGCAGGGAGGTCGTAAGGGCTTTGAGGATCAAGTCCCATTAAGCCGCTCTCCTACTCCAAGTACAAACGATATTGGTAAAATAAGTTGAAAATCAATGGGCCAGCCCAAGAGAAAGGATCCCAGTTGCCAACTTGCGGCGCCCAAGGTGTTGGGAGCGACCCTGAGGTTGAGCAAGCCCCTGGCCCAGTCCGTCTTGGTCGGGACAAGACACTCCAGGGAAGTGTCTTGTCCCTGGAGGGACAAGGGGGTGAGGCGCGGGCCCAGCAGCCCAGACAGGGCCACCTCTGAGGTCAGCCCTGGGTTGCAGGAGAGCATACAGAAGAGGTTGGAAAAGAACCGTCTCGTCCCATCACTTAGACGAGAAGGAAGTGCTGACGGCGGTCTCCTGTATCCAAAGCTCGCTCCTCCTGTTCTAAGAGCTGCCAAAGCGGTCACCAGAAAATGAACGAGGAAGACAATCCCAGCTGCAGCAAAAGAAACCAGTGAGTGGGAGAGCTGAAGAGAACAAAGTTTACTTCAGTGGAATTTCACAAAAAATACATCCAGGCAGCTGCAAGCCTTGCCTGCCAAAAAACCTGTGGGTGTGGGAGCCCTCCAGCCACAGGTGAACCTTCTTAATCAGCGCCCAAGAGCAGGGAGGCTTCAGGATTATGGGGACCAGACACATCACAAAGCCCCAGACCAGGGACGAAACAGTAATGGTGAGAAAGGGCCCAGGATCCATGGGGACCGAGAGCCATGACACCCACCTGCTCAAAGGCTGGAGCCGGGGCTGAGGCGAGGTCAGGCTCTAAGTCCTGCACGGGGCTCCCCCTGCACAGCCAACCTCTCAGGCCAGGCTCCCCTGGGGTGGAAAGTGGTGGGTGTGTTCTGTAGATTTTCCTCCTCTCATACCCCTAACCGGGCCTCGATGGGTGTCTGTCGTGGGTTCCTGTGCCCTGACAACTCCCGGAGCACCAACTGTGCATGCAGCAGGCTGCCTGCACAACCCCCTCTTCCCGGGACCACAGAGGACGCACACGGCACCACGCCAGACCCAGCAGGAGCGCCCTGAGCGGGCAGCAGGTGCTCACTGGCCCAGCTGTAAGCTCCCACCCACCCAGGAGGGCTAGCCCAGCCCACAGGGAAAGAGGAGTGACCCCAGTAGACGGGAAAAGGGCTGCTGCCTTTACCGGCGCCCCCTCCCCGTCAGCACATCCCCCCACTGCCTGTGGGGCTGCTGGGGTCTGCTTTCCCTAGAGGCCCACGGGCTGCGACCAGCCTGTCCAGGGAGAGAACAGCCCGAGTGGTGCCTTTATAGACGTGAAGATCTGAGCAGGGTGGAGTTTATAAAGTGACTGATTCAGCTGGGATTCTTCCCCCAGAGCTAGAAGCAAAGCTGCCTGAGGAATGCAACTGCTGAGAAAAGTAGAGTTTAGGGAAGGCAGGGATCCCTTCCCTCATACTTGGGGAGAAGGGATGTGATTTGGAAGGGAAGATGGAGGAGTCAGATAAGGAATGTGTTTTTAGTTTTAATGTCTATTAAATAATTGGTGGGAGTAAGAACCCAGGTGTGGGGACCAGACCCCTGTAAAGGACTGACCCCAGCCTCACACTCAAGCTGCGGCCCACCCAGACGCAGGAGAGTTCTCTGGGCAGCCGGAGCGAAGGCGTGCCGGAGGGCAGCTGTTGTCCTGAGTGTGCGCCACACAGAGGAGAAACGTCCAGCCCCTTCTGACTGGCGGGGCTGGGTCCCCGCAGACCAAGTCCTGCGTTCGCCCCGTGCTCTCCCGTGGAGAACCCCCTTTGCCCTTCTGGTGGAATCCAGGCTGCTGCCGACGGCTCTTCATGCCCAGGACAGCTGGCCTGGAGGGAGGGGCCGGGCAACACCTCTCAGTGCAACACGGGATGGTAGCTCAAGCGTTCTTCACGAGGGCCCCTCCAGGGAAGGACTCAGGCCACCCTTCCTGCCCTCGAGGCTAGCTGTCTGCCTTCTTCACGTGGTGGAAGAGGTTACAGAAGAGCTCGTACCAGAAGAACACAAAGCCGGTGGAGAGGGCAGCCTTCAGCAGGCTGGGGGCCAGGCCTTTGAAGCAGCCCTGTGCACCCTCCTCTCGCAGCACCTGCCTGGCGCAATCCAGGAGGCCCTTGTAGCTTCGCACCTGGGGAGAGGAAGGTTCTCCAGTTGAGGAGAGAGGAGGTGATGGCAACATGGGTGTGAGCTCTGTTCTTTTGTCAACACAGAGCCTGGCACGTTCCAGCACCCAATAAATACTTGCTGGACAAAGGAATGAATGCAAAAAAGACAGAATAAGTTAACCTCATTCTTTCTCTTCCAACTGGGCTAATTCAGACTTAACAGATGAAGTGCCCGGAAATCAGCACTGGACAGAGCTCCTTCCTGCCCTGGAGGCTCCACTGACAGTGGCTCTTAAGGACCCAGAGAGAGCTCTGGACCCTCTTCCCAGGGGTGCCTCTGACTGTGCGCCCATCCCTCCTGGTCCCCCTTGGGCAGTAGATCTGAACCAGCCCCTCGTTAGCTCTGAGCCTGACCAGCGGCGCCAGCCTGGCCACCTCCAGTTGACCACAAACTGCTGCTAGACCCGTGTCCCCAGGGCACAGCTCTACTCAAGCCTCGCTCCCCTCCCAGAGCTCCAGTAACTCCCGATGATGATGATGACAATGATATTACAAAGAATCAAGTCCAAGCCCCACGGCGTGGTGTTCGGGGCGTTTCACCATTTGGCCTCAACTTCCCTCCCTGATCTGCCTTTCCCCACTGGTCCAGCCTCAGTGCCCGCACACCTCCAGCCATACCTGCTCATGCTAAAGCTCTGTGAGGAGCAGGGCCTCCCTTCTCTGTCTTGAGCTCTCACCAACTCTCCCTATCCAAATTCAAACCATCTTTTCAAGACAAGTTGGTAAAAGGAAGAAGGAGGTTATAAAACCTTGTGTGTAACCCCATTTTTGTTAAACATATGTTTATTTATGTAAAGGAATAAAACTACAACGCGGATGGACCTAGGTGGCGTTATGCTTAGTGAAATAAGTCAGAGAAAGACAAACAGTGTATGTTATCACTTTTATGTGGAATCTTAAAAATAGAACAAATGAATGGGGCTTCCCTGGTGGTGCAGTGGTTAAGAATCCGCCTGCCAATGCAGGGGACATGGGTTCGAGCCCTGGTCCGGGAAGATCCCACATGCCGCGGAGCAACTAAGCCCGTGCACCACAATTACTGAGCCTACGCTCTAGAGCCCGCAAGCCGCAACTACCGAGCCCACGTGCCACAACTACTGAAGCCTGTGCACCTAGAGCCCATGCTCCGCAACAAGAGAAGCCACCACAATGAGAAGCCCGCGCACCGCAACGAAAAGTAGCCCCCGCCTGCCCCAACTAGAGAAAGCCCGTGTGCAGCAACGAAGACCCAATGCAGCCAAAAATAAATAAATAAATTTATCTTTAAAAAAGTAATAATATGTCATTTGGGGCTTCCCTGGTGGCACAGTGTTAAGAATCCACCTGCCAATGCAGGGGACATGGGTTCAAGCCCTGGTCTGGAAAGATCCCACGTGCCGCAGAGCAGCTAAGTCCGTGTGCCACAACTACTGAGCCTGAGCTCTAGAGCCCGTGAGCCACAACTAATGATCCTGCCTGCCACAACTACTGAAGCCTAGAGCCCGTGCTCCACATGTGTGAAGCATGCCTAGAGCCCGTGCTCCACAACAAGAGAAGCCACCGCAATGAGAAGCCCGCGCACCACGACAAAGGGTAGCCCCCACTCACTGCAACTAGAGGAAGACCCAACACAGCCCAAAAAACCCCCCAAAAACGTCATTTGATGCACAGCCCTTTGTCTCAAAAAACTTATATAAACTGTGTCTTAACTTCTAGCAGGTGGAATAGTTCTCAGAGCTTTCTGAGATGCTCTTCCCGGGTTATAATCCTCAAATTTGGCTGGAATAAAATTTTCCGATTCTTTCTTAGATCAACTGATTAATTTTTCATCAACACCGGGGACATGCAGGGGCTGAGAGGGCTATGGGGGTGAAAGCTGCCCAATGGACAGGAGCTGACCCAGTTCCTTCACGTGCCCAGTGAGGGGCTGGAATCAGAGCTCTCTGCAGAGGGACATCTCACCTGGCCAAAGGAGGCTCGGGCCTGCTCAAACCCTCCAACCTGCAGCCGCTTCTTGAAGAGGTCCAGGGGATACGTGAGGGTCTTGCTGATGACTCCAGCTCCACTGCCACAAAGCAGGTTTTTGAAGTTCCCTGAACCAGAGAAGTGGGATGGAGGGGAAATATGAGAGAAATGCAATCTAGGGTAAACTTCAAGGTTATACAGTCTAATCCTTGACCAGAAAACCCAAACCTACAAGCATCCTCGATCTTGGAAGAATTTAATCCAGGAGCGAGAGAACCAGACACAACCTCAGGAAGAATGACAACACACAGGGCTTCCCTGGTGGCGCAGTGGTTAAGAATCTGCCTGCCAATTCAGGGGACATGGGTTCGGGCCCTGGTCCGGGAGGATCCCACGTGCCGCAGAGCAACTAAGCCCATGAGCCACAACTACTGAGCCTGCGCTCTAGAGCCCATGAGCTACAACTACTGAGCCCATGTGCCACAACTACTGAAGCCCACGTGCCTAGAGCCCGTACTCTACAACAAAGAGAAGCCACTGCAATGAGAAGCCTGCACACCGCAAGGAAGGGTAGCCCCCGCTCGCCTCAACTAGAGAAAGCCCGCACGCAACAACGAAGACACAACACAGCCATAAATAAATAAATAAATATTTTAAAAAAAGAACCAACGCAGCCAAAAAGTTAAAAAAAAAGAATCTGCCTGCCAATGCAGGGGACACAGTTTCAAGCCCGTGTCTGGGAAGATCCCACATGCCACGGAGCACCTAAGCCCGTGCGCCACAGCTACTGAGCCTGCGCTCTAGAGCCCGCGAACCACAACTACTGAAGCCCGCGCACCTAGAGCCCGTGCTCTGCAACAAGAGAAGCCACCGCAGTGAGATGCCCGCGCACCGCAACAAAGAGTAGCCCTCGCTCTCTGCAACTAGAGAAAGCCCGCACGCAGCAACGAAGACCCAACACAGCCAAAAATAAATAAATAAAAATTTTTAAAAAAGGAACGACAATGGACTGCTGATTGGACAGGCTGGCGGCAGAAGGGGTGTGCGCCTTTAACAGTAATCACCCCAGCTGGAGGCAGTAATGGCCTGCAGGCTCTGCCATGCGACTCTGTTCAAGGCTTGGGAGGGAACAGGATGCCCATCCCCCTCCCCAGAGTCCCCAGACGAAAACCAAACCAAACACATAAGCAAAACCAGGCTGTTTGCAAGTTGGACCTTTGACAAAAATGAAAACCATGACCGGTAGTTGGAAATAACAGTGGCAAGAGCCGAAAGAAATAAAGTCATCTGTGAGTGAATGGATTTGTTTTGTTGGCTGTATTACAGAGCTGTGGGTTCAGAGATCTGTGGTGTCTTAGCTTCTGCCGGAAAACTTTATTTCCTACCTGATTCAGAAAGAGATGCTATGGCTTGGGAGTGGGGCGGAGTGGGACCCAGATTCCCTTTCCCATGAGGCCGGTCTCACCGTTTTTCTTTCCTTCGGCTGGCATGGCCCACTCATACGCGTGCTTCAAGGAGCTGTAGAAGGAGAACTGGAACCCAGCGTAGGGGAAGATGGCGATCAAGGTGGGGTTCAAGCCTTTGTAGAAGACCAAGGGGCCTTCGGTCCTGTACATGGTCACCACGGCGTTTCGCAGGGTTTTATAGACCTGGACACCACACATGCAATGATGAGTGACATCGTTTCAGCCCGAGAACCCAGCCCACCAGCTCTATTTCCCCTTGTCCAGAAACCAGCTACTAGGAGCATTACTTCTCCTGCCAGGAGAACAAAGAAAATGCTGGACAAAAATTCCAAGGGTGGGACTGTCTGGTAGCTCCCCTTCTAGCTATTTACACGACTGAGATATGCCAAGGAGTGCACAAAAGTACGCAGAACAGCAAAAGGTGTGAAGTCCACCCTTGGGTGATCAGTTATATAAATTACGGCACACCTGTTCAAAAGAACATAGTGTGGCAATTACAACAGGAAGATGCAATCTAGATGATCGATAGGGAAGACTCCCCCAAATATACAGTTAAGTGAACCCAGCAGGACATGAAGAGCAGGCATAGTGTCTGTGGAGGAAACAAACTGTATGCAGAGACTATGCCCCACAAGGATACACAAGAAAGGAGGAACAGTAACATTATTGCCGCCACAGCGGGAAACAGGGGGACAGGGGAGGGATGGGGGAAGAGGGAGATTCACTATGACCATTTTATGCTATCTGGATTTTTTTGCCATATGCATATACTTAACCTTTCTGAAACCATCAACAGGTGATCTTTATGCACGAAGAGCCACTGATTTTTTAGTACACTTCTATTTGGCATATATTCTTTGCAGTGGACCAGAGGGGCTGAATCTGCCTGGCTGTGGGTGCGGGAAGCACTGCACTGACAAGAGGGTGACGGAGGGGAAGTCTGTACTGAGCAGGGACAGTACACACTTGGCTCCCAGATGCTAGCAGCCACATCGAAGGCTTTCGCCCTGGGGACTTGCATGAAAGGGCCGGGCCTCAGAGGAAGGCCATCGGGCAACAAGCTGCCCACGTGCCAGAGTGCCACTCTGCTTTCTGTGTGCCCTCTTACCACCAAGCTGGCAGCCAAGAGTCACCAGACATTTGAGGAGAGCCTCCCCCAAAACAGAGGCCAAAATGATTGATGAGGGGCAGGAGAAGTCATTGGGAAGGAAGAGACCGTATAGATACAGCAGAGGAAAACTACAGCAAAAAGAAACCACCCACAAAATTTTAACTAATATCCTGAGACCACAGAGAAGGCATCACCTTCATGATAAAAGCAGAGGGTCAGGGCTTCCCTGGTGGCGCAGTGGTTGAGAGTCTGCCTGCAGATACAGGGGACACGGGTTCGTGCCCCGGTCCGGGAAGATCCCACATGCCGCGGAGCGGCTGGGCCCGTGAGCCATGGCCGCTGAGCCTGCGTGTCCGGAGCCTGTGCTCCGCAGCGGGAGAGGCCGCAACAGTGAGAGGCCCGCGAACCGCAAAAAAAAAAAAAAAAAAAGGAGCCAACTACTCACAGGCACCCCACGGACACATCTCCAATGCATCTACCAGGTGAAGGGAGCCAACTCAAACGACTACACAGGGCATAATTCCATTTATGTAACATTCTGGAAAAGGCAGAACTTCAGACAGAAAACAGACCAGTGGTTACTGAGGCTGGAGGTGGGGAGGGACAAACTACAAAGGACAGGAGGAAATCAGGGGGTGATGGAACTTCTGTTTTATATCTTGATTGTGCTAGTGGTTACGTGACTGTACGCATTTGTCAAATGTCACAGAACTGTATGCTAAAAAGAGTGGATTTTACTGTGCAAGTTATGCTTTAATAAACCTGACTAAAACAAACAAACCAAAGACAGTTCTTAGGAACCAACATATGTTAGCAGACATTCTTTAAACTCAATAGAGGGCCCAAATGATAAAAGTAAGGAAACCTCCCAGAATGGTAAATAAAAGATAAGTCAATCAGAGGATCAATCCAGGATGTCTAGTGTCCAACTGACATGAATTCCAGAAAGAAAAAGAAAAAAAGAGGGCAGGCAATTGTGAATAAATAATTCATGACCATTTTCCAGGCATGAAGACCATGTGTCCAGACTAAAGGGCCCAGGAAGTGCCCATCAAAATGAATGAAAGAGACCCGCCCTGGGGCACTCCACTGGTAAATTTCTAGAATGCCAGGGATCAAGAAAAGATCCTGAGGGACTTCCCTGGTGGTCCAGTGGTTAAGACTCCACGCTTCCACTGCAGGGGGTGTGGGTTCGAGCCCTGGTTGGAGAACCAAGATCCCACGTGCCGCATGGTGGGGCCACAGAAAAGTTAAAAAAAAAAAAAAAAAAAGATCCTGAAAGTTCCCAAGAGGGCGAAGTGGATGCCTTCATCTAAAGGGTTAGTCATCAGGATGGTTCCGGACGCCTCTTCAGCAATACTGAGAGCTACCTAGAATTCTACACCCAGATCATCAGTTAAGTGCAAGGGGAAAATAAAGGCATTTTCTATCAGGCTTCTGTAAGGAAGCTATACCTCAGGATGTGCTCCACAAAATGAGGGACTAATCAAGAAAGAGAAGACATGGGCTCCTACGTGAGAATTCCTAAGAGAATAGCTGGCCATAGTCCTGGAGCAAACAGTCTAGATCGAAGCCATAGGGTGAAGGGTTCAAGGGTGGGGGGGCTCTAGGAGGGGCTCCATAAAAACATGGGACTGATGACCACAGGTTCACCCTATCGGGAGATTGTTTGAAAGTGAATTTGTGATAAGCATGTAGAAAGCGAAACAAATAAAATACAAAGCAACTGCCAACTTCAGGAAAAACAAAAATACAAAAGAAAACATAATCATAATATATTTTGAGGCTCAGCAGAAACATTTACATAATCATAACAGCATAAACACTGAGTACTGATTTAGCCAAAAATCTATTAATCAGTTGTACTGCACTCAGGTGAGGAAGCACAAGCACACCCAAGGGTGATGGTAAAAGAGTTAAATCCTCATCTTCCATAGTAGTAGTCAGTAGTTAATGTCTATAATTTAAAACTGAGAAGGAAAGGAAGAAAGAGAAAGAGCATGTTACTTTGAATTAGGAAGTAAATTACGGAAGAAGCACACAAATATTAAAAGTGGTTGCCTCTGGGGAATAGAATCAGGGGGGTGGCTGGTGTTTTTTCATTATAGTTCCTGAAGAACTATCTGTCTTTTTAACCTTTATACACTTTATAGGTTATTTATTTATTTATTTATTTATTTATGGCTGTGTTTGGTCTTCGTTGCTGTGCGCGGGCTTTCTCTAGTTGCGGTGAGTGGGGGCTACTCTTCACTGCGGTGCGCGGGCTTCTCATTGCGGGCTCCTCTTTTTGCGGAGCACGGGCTGTAGGCAAGCGGGCTTCAGTAGTTGTGGTGCACGGGCTCAGCAGTTGTGGCTCGCGGGCTCTAGAGAGCAGACTCAGTAGTTGCGGCGCACGGGCTCAGTTGCTCCATGGCATGTGGGATCTTCCCGGACCAGCGCTCGAACTCATGTCCCCTGCATTGGCAGGTGGATTCTTAACCACTGCACCACCAGGGAAGCCCAGGTTATTGATTTTTTTAAGAAATGTGAGGATTTACACTATGGATGCTACTAGTCTAAACAAGGTGGAGAGTTTTGCAATTTTTAAATAAATCTTTTCCCCTCACTTTCACACACAATTTTCCAGCCATTCCAGAATCTAGAATCCAACATCTCAATTGGCTAAGCCTAAGAAGAAGTATGCTATTCTTTTCTTAATGATGTTTTCCCTTTTTTCTTCTCATAGACTTGTACTAAAGGTTGGAAAGTAACAGAAGAGGATAATAGCACACGCAGAACAGGGAACCTGAAGGACTGTCACCAGCCATTCTCTTCATCCCAGCAGCCACCATGTTGCTGAGGTCTGTTCCCTCTATAAACATCCTTCCCCTCCATTTCTCTACTCCATTCCTAGGACCCCTCATCTCATTTCTCCACCAGGGCAGTCACCCCAAACCTCTATTTTCCACTGCAGTGTCACACAGAGTGACCCAGCTCTCATGCCCCAGTCTTTTTCTTCTAGAATGTTCCTGGGGCACTTTGCATTTCTGAACCAAAAAATTTATCAGAATGTCTCCTAAACAAAAGAGGTCCCCCAACCCAGGATCTCCACCCCAGGCAACACAAAAAACTGGCACAGCTGAAACCACAGTTATTCTTAGCTGGTCCCAGATCAAATTCTTAAGCAAAACATCATTCCCCATCAACAGTATCCTAAGCTATTCTTATATATGTCCAAGAAACAGAGATTATGGTGGGCGGAGGGGGAATGGGGCATCTATTTGAGGGTTTAATCCCTTGCTTTCACTCAGTCAGTTCTTCCTTGAGTCTGACTCAATGATCCCATTTCCTCCAATCCATTCTTTCTGGAAACCAAAACCTCCCTCCCAATAATACAGCGATAGAATCTCAAGTCTCACTTTCCCAGATGCCTTCCCCGTCCCGATTTGGTATTTGCTCTGTTTCCCCTGCAGGTTCTGTGTCCCCCGTGAGGTTGTGAGCACCTTGCCTGGTGCCAAGCACCATCACGGGTTTCAGGAACAGGCTGAAGGATGGCCTGAAAACCCCAGGTCCCCCCGGCTTTGTTCCCTCTAAGGAAAACAGCCCCCACCCTGGGACGCCCTTCGTATCTTGGGCGCCCCTTCTCTGGCCTGGCCACTCACCCTGGGCTCACCCTGCGCTGCAAAGCGGGTGCGTAGCACGTCCACAGGATGTACGGCGAGGGTGGCCACACAGGCAGACAGGCCGCCACACACAAAATGCACAGAGAAGTCTCGGGCGTCGCGCACGCTGGCCCTGTGCACCAGCTCGGTGAGCACTTCAAACGACAAAAACTGCAAGAGTGTGTGACAGTGTCATGGAAAACACCCCCCGAATGCACCCGTGACCCAGGTGGGGCCTATCCTAGGGACCAGGAGATACTCTTCTTGAGTAGGGTCAGAATACAATAAACATGTAACTGTGCAAAGCTCAGATGCCCTTTCATACTCTGAGCAGACCCAAATACCCAAGGGTTAAGAAAATATATGAGAAAATTTTTATATCAGAAAATTCTACTTGGGGGACCTCCCTGGTGATCCAGTGGCTAAGATTCCGCACTCCCAGTGCAGGGAGCCCAGGTTCAACCCCTAGTCAGGGAACTAGATCCCACATGCTGCAACTAAAAAAAAAAGATCCTGCATGCTGCAACTAAGACCCCGACGCACCAAATAAATAAATAAATATTTAAAAAAAAAAAAAGGCTTCCCTGGTGGCGCAGCGGGAATTCCCTGGTAAAAAAAGGGAATTCCCTGGTAGTCCAGTGGTTAGGACTTGGTGTTCTCACTGCCGTGGCCCCGGGTTCAATCCCTGGTGGGGGAACCACGATCCCACAAGCTGCATGGCGAGGCCAAAAAAAAAAAAAAAAAAAGAATAAAAAAGAAAATTCTACTCATCACTTAGTTTTCTGAGAACTGGGAAAAGATGGCCATTATCTGACTCTAGGCTGGGGACCCCTTTAATGCAGCTGGCAGCGGCCCTGTTTGAGAAACATTCTGCCCTGGAGCTGAAATTCTGTTGGGAGAATTCCACATATTCCATATTCTGTGGTGTAAGCCCTCCTTGGGCTCGGATCCTTCTCCAGCCAACTCAAGATGGCGCGGGGTCCTGAGAGCGCATGTTGCTGCATTTACCCATCAGGATGCAGCACCTGTGTGCTGGGCGCAGAGATGGCGCGGCAGGTGCATGTGACCTGAGCAATCACTGTGATGTCATACGTAGAGCAGGCAGGGACTGCTCTGCCACTTTCTAGCTAGTGACGTTGGTTGGACTCATTACTTAAGCTCTCTCTGCCTCAGTCTTCTCATCTGTAAAATAAGGATGACAACAGAACCTACCAGAGGACTGTCGTAAGGTGTCAGATGTGAAGTGCTTCACCCGGGGCCTGGCCCCCTATGAGCACTGTGCGGGGTTGGATATTTCCATCACCACTACCGTACGGCTACAGACTAGATGCCATGGGGTAAACTGGCGCTCAGCTGAACAAACTCGTGAGCAAGAGTCAAGAAGCCTGGATCCTAATCCTAGCCTCACCACCTACAAGCTGTGTGGCCTCAGGCAGCTCACTCAACCTCTCTGCGACCCACACAACACCTGCTCCACCTTCCTCACAGTGCTGTTAGGAAGTTCAAAGGATGCACAGACGTGAATAATGCTATTTTGAAAAATGAAAAGCATTTGTATTGCCATTTGCTAAGCCCCTCTGGGCTGGGTGTCAAGACAGTATCCTAGGTGCAGCACCTCACATTCAGTGGGTGCTAAGTCTCCAGGGTTGGGGGACGTGGGGAAGGGGATGCCTGTAGTACAGCTCAGTCTGACTATGTCTTCAATTTGTCGGGTAGTTTCCCAGCCAAGATGAGTGAGCAGTGTGTGACCGCCTCCTGCTGCCCTACCCCAGGCAGCCCAGGTACACGCCTCACCACCCTGGGCTCCCCCATTGGGCAATGTGACCCCAGGGGCCTGGCCGCTTCCCCTGCCACCTACTTGGACAGCTCCATAGCCTATGGAGAGAAGCTGGGCTGGGATGTGTCCTTTCCAGAATGCTGTTGGGCCCTCCTCTTGCAAAATCTGTCTCCCAGCCTGCAGGATCCCGTGGTATTTCGCGTTGGGGTCACTGCGAGAAAGGCGCTCAATCTGAAGCTGGGAATCAAGATGAGAATGGTCAGGATGATGGCGGAGGGGCGAGGAGGAATTTCAGAGAAGGTAACAAAGGCAACAAGGTGCTTCTCCTTGACAAAACTGCAAGCTCTAGGAACTGCTTTGGCAAAAAAGAGTGAACTTGTCCTCTGGCCGGTTACACAGAAAAAGGGGAAAAGGGTACCTGGAAACGGATCTTGATGACATCCAAGGGGCTGATCAGTACCCGAGTGACAAGTCCAGACACAGACCCAGCCACGGCCACCTCGAGATTGGAGACATTCCTGCCGTCTGCTCTGGGGTCATAGCCCACCATCCCTGCCTGTGGCCCATACAACGTCCATCAGCTTCAGGCTAAATGCAAGAGACAGGAGTAAATACCAGAGCAAGGTCTTAGGGCCCCGGCTCACACATCACTCCTCAGAGCAGTCCTCCCGGACCAGCCCCCCAAAGCAGCGCCCACATCCCTTTTCTCTCCTTATCCTGCTTTATTCTTCTTTAGAGCATTTATATACCAGACATTGATTCCATACTTTTGTTTCTTGTCTCTCTCCCCCATTAGAATTCGAGCCCATGAAAACAGGGCGTTGGTCTCATTCATCCATCCCTGTAACTCCAGTGCCCGGAAGAGAGCCCACCACAGTAACTGCTCATTAATATTTGCTGATGGAGTGAATGAGCAGGCTTGGTAGGAAACAGTTCACTTCCAGAGATCAGCTGGCTTTCCAAGACACCTGGTTTTATGGCCAGCTCCTGACTGAGGCGAAATCCCAGGCTGCGTTAGCGTGAGGGCAGAGCCTCAAGCTGAGCGCAGAGGGGGAACCGAAGACACACGGACTCCAGGAACGGGGCCTGGGATTCTCTAACAAGCCGCCATGATCCAAAGGGCCCTGAGCCCTTCAGCATCTCCCTTCGCCATTCTTTGCACACACCGCAGGCCCGCCCACAGCAGTGGAGCGGAGTTACGCTGCAAAATGATACAGGCCCAACTCTTCAACCTCACCCTGGACCACGGTTCAGTCTCTTCAGCCAGGGTGGGCTCAGTGCTTCTGAGCAGTTCCTAGAAAATGCTGTTTATGTTCCTATCTACCGGCCCATCCCTGGACCTACTGTTCCCATGTCTGAAATGCAGCCTCACTCTTCCCTAGACTGGTTCCTCTCACCTTCCAGGGCTCAGCTAAAGAGCATGCCCTCCAGAAGATGTACTCATGTCCTTTCTAGCATTCACAGCACTTATTAAGGTGCTGTCCTCCCCGCCCACAGGAGGTAGGCTCCATACAGGTAGAGACAGCCTTGTTACAGTGGTATCTCCAGAGACCAGCACGGTGCCTGGCATGCCCCAAAGTCTCTAAAAACAATGACTGAATAAATGATTAAAAACCAAGTAACTGGGACTTCCCTGGCGGTGCAGGGGTTAAGTCTCCACGCTTCCACTGCAGGGGGCACGTTCGATCCCTGGTTGGGGAACTAAGATCCCGCATGCCATGCAGTATGGCCAAAAAAACCCAAAAATCTACTTCCATTTTTATCTAGAGCCGACCTCAACACTAATGACATTTTAGAATGAAGAATTCTTTGTAGCTGGGGGCTGTCCTGAGCACTGTAGGATGTTTAGCAGTACCCCTGGTCTCTACCCACCAGATGCCAGTATCCCCATGCTCCCCTTGTGACAATCAAAAATGTCTCCAGACATTGACAAATGCCTCCTGGGGTTCAAAACTGCCCCTGATTGAGAACCACTGTTCTAGAGAAATACTAGAATGTGTGTGTAAAATGTCATGCATTGCATCACTACTTATAAAACTGGATATAATGCAAATGATTATAAATAAGAGGGACAGACACTAAGTCACCTCCATGCAATAGGATACCATGCAGCCATTAAAAGAAAGAGCGGACTTCCCTGGTGGCGCAGTGGTTAAGAATCCACCTGCCAATGCAGGGGACACAGGTTTGACCCCTGGGCGGGGAAGATCTCACATGATGCTGAGCCCATGCGCCACAACTACTGAGCCTGAGCTCTAGAGTCCTCAAGCCACAACTACTGAAGCCTGTGTGCCCTAGAGCCCACGTGTCATAACTACTGAGCCCACATGCTGCGACTACTGAAGCCTGCGCACCTAGAGCCCGTGCTCCACAACAAGAAAAGACACAGCAATGAGAAGCCTGCGCACCGTAACGAAGAGTAGCCCCCGCTTGCCACAATAGAGAAAGTCCGCGTGCAGCAACGAAGACCCAACACAGTCAAAAATAAAAAAAGATTAAAAAAAAAAAGAATGAGCCAGAGCTAAACACACACTGGAAAAGACGTCCACAATTGACTAAAACGTGAAAAACGCAGGTTTCAGACTGTATGTCTAGTGTAACCCCACTTTTGCAAAAGAAAAACAGCAAGACCTACATACGCCCTCAACAGTCGTATAAAGCATAGCAGGAAAGTCTATAAGGACACACACATCAACAGGTTGGTAAGGTTACCTTTGGGGGTAGGGTTGGCAAGGGAAGAGGGAAGGCAGATCTCCTCCCCCCTACTTTATTTTTTTTTTCCATGCCTCGTGGCATGTGGGATCTTAGTTCCCCAACCAGGGATAGAACCCGGGCCCCCTGCAGTGGAAGCACCGCGTCCTAACCACCAGACCACCAGGAAATTCCCTCCCTTTTTCTTTACACAATTCTACGTTGCTTGAATTCATTATGGCCCCCCAAACCCCAATTAAAAGTAAACATAAAATGATTTTCGAAGAGACCTCAGAATTAACCTAGTTCTTGAATACCTTTAGTAACAGGGAAATCAGGGCCCACACAGTGACACCTTCACCCCATTGTTTCATTTTCTCCTCTCACCTTCCCTGGAACTCTGTCCGCACCAATCCCTCAGCCCCAAGCCCTCACTTTTCTGAAACTACCAAAATAGCACTCCAATCCATCCTTAAAATTAACAAGACATTTCCATGGGGTTCGATCAGCAAAGTATTGTAAAATAACATTTATTGAAAGTCTAATGGGGGAATTCCCTGGCGGTCCAGTGGTTAGACTCGGCACTTTCACTGCTGGGGCCTAGGTTCGATCACTGGTCAGGGAACTAAGATCCTGCAAACCACACAGCATAGCCATAAAAAAAAGAGAGAGAGAAAAAAGTCTAATGGTATGAAATCTCCCGACTCCTGCCAGGAATTTGCCCATTCTCCCCAGACTTCTCCCCAGTAGTTCCCCAGTAACTTCTCCGCAGACCCTCAAAGGAGGAGATCTCGACTTTCCCATCAACTTCTCTGTGACATTAACTCAAGCTGCTACTCCCCAGGCACCTGTGAGGAGCAGTTTAAACGTGAGGCAGGTGACTGAGAGGCAAAGCCTCTCCGGAGGTTGCCCAGAGACTGTTCAGGTCACACTGAGCAGTGTCAGATCCCTACTGTCAGGGAGGGAAGGAGGCACTTCTACAAATAAGCAGCTCTGCATAGCTGGACATAACCTTAAACCTCAGATCAAGAAGCCTGAGTCAAAATTCTGTCTCTCTCGGGCTTCCCAGGTGGCACAGTGGTTGAGAGTCCGCCTGCCGATGCAGGGGACACGGGTTCGAGCCCCAGTCCGGGAGGATCCCACATGCCGCGGAGCGGCTGGGCCCGTGAGCCATGGCCGCTGAGCCTGCGCGTCCGGATCCTGTGGCCCGCAACGGGAGAGGCCACAACAGTGAGAGGCCCGCGTACCGCAAAAAAAAAAAATCCTGTCTTGTCTCTCTCATGTACCTTGGGCAGCTTTTTCTTCTGGAAAATGAGAATGATGGCAGCCCTGCCTAGCTGGATTCCTGGGAGGATCACACGAGATACTACTATATGTGATAAGCTCTGTCAAAAAGGTAAAAGTCTTTATACACGTGGAAGGTCTTGTTAAATATAATTCAGTAGTGGCCTTACTTTTTCTGCTTGTTCAAAATTTCCTTCTTGTACCAAAAAACCATCTAAAGAGACAAAATAAACATGAAATATGATTATATGCATGATATAATAAAGTACCCAGAAGATGGGGGCCGCTGGTGTGAGTGGCAGGGGGGCTGGGGTGTGTGTGTATGAGTCTGCCGTGCCACCCCTGTTTTTACTGCGTAAGTCCCTGGTGTTCAGGTATGCAGGTGGCCCGCGGTGAGCGTGTGTGCCCGTGAGCCCACGTGCTCAGCTGAGGGTCTCTGCAGATGTCTCCGCGTGTGGACACAAGTGTCCACGTGTGCTCCAGGGCGTGTTTTTTCTCCCCGAGTCCGAGAAAACGCCCACAAGGTGGGCACCCGCATGTATAGGTGCCCCGGGTGTGTCCAGGGTTTTGCTTCCTGCGTCCCTGAAGATGCTTCTCAGATCAGACGCGACACGTGTGGGTACAGTCCCCGCCCCCGCGTAAGTACCTGCGCGTGTAGGCGCCCCCGGGCAGCGGGGGTGCAGCTCCCCGAGCTGAGTGCCAGGAGGGCGGAGAAAGAGGTCACTCACCCGGCTCCAAAGGCGCGGCCCGATTCCCCGAACTCTTCTCTCCCTCCCTCCTCACGCAGTCTAACGGCAAAACTTCACTGCGCTTGGCAGTAACTGACGGGCTTGTGGACCAATCACCGCGCAGCTTCCGACAGACGCTAGACCAACGGTTGTACAGTAGTCACCCGACCAACGCCTATTGCAAGGGGTTGCTGGGTAATGTAGTCCTCCGCTACTGAGGCCGTCCCCTTACGAGGCGCAGAGCCTCCTGGGAGATGTAGTCCCTCGGCGCGCGTATGCGCACATGTTACCCACGCGTTGAAAGGAGGAGGGTCCCGAAGCCAGGCTGCGCCGTTGGAGGTAGCCGCGCTGAGTGGCGTGTGCCTTGGATCAGATTGCTGGCGGGCGGAAGTTTAGGGCGCGCTGAACGTGACCCTCTTTCCTCAAAACTTTCATAGTTCCAGTACCCGGATCACCTAAACTTGGAAAAGATGGCGGGAAGTTTAGCAAAATCCTGGAGGGCGTGGGGGAAAGAATAGATGAATTTTTAAGACCAGAACGACGACGGCAAAAATACAGAGGTTTTATTTCCCCCTAGGGTTTATTATGCATAACTCTCATTATAAGATAATATAAAAATATATAGACACATTACAGAAAATGTAGAAATGAAGGGGGAAATGACTCATCCTACCGCTCTCACGCAAGTAGTATCAGCGTTTTGCAGGACAGTCTTCCCGATTTTTAAACTGCATTTTTCATATTACTGCAATCATTTTGACGCACAATTTAAAAACATTTTATTAGGCTTCCCTGGTGGCGCAGTGGTTGAGAGTCCACCTGCCGATGCAGGGGACGCGGATTCGTGCCCCGGTCCGCGAAGATCCCACATGCCGCGGAGCGGCTGGGCCCATGAGCCATGGTCGCCGAGCCTGCGCGTCCGGAGCCTGTGCTCCGCAGCGGGAGAGGCCACAACAGTGAGAGGCCCGCGTACCGCAAAAAAAAAAAAAAAATTTTTATTGAACATTTTAAAAACGTTTCAGGGACTTCTCTGGCAGTCCAGTGGTTAAGACTCCGTACGTCTACTTCAAGGGACGTGGGTTTGGTCCCTGGTTGGGGAACTAAGATCCATGTGATGCGGCACATAAATAAGTAAAGAAGTAAATAAATAAATAAAACGTTTCATACTATACAAAAGTAGAGAGAATAGCCTGATGAACCACCATATAGTCATTACTCAACTTCAACAATTAACCAACTCCTGGTCAGTCTTGTTTTTCTCCATACCCGCACCTAAGTGGCACTGTTACTGAGTCCAAGCTCATCATGGTCCTGCTTGCCACAGGACAGGCCAATAAATTGAGAGAACAGTTGTTGGGGCAAAGAATAGCAACTTTATTAGGAAAGCCAGCAGACTGAGGAGATGGTGGACTCGTGTCCCAAAGAACAATCTTGCCTCAGTTAGAATTCAGGCTTCTTTTATACTACAGTCAAACATTCCTGGTTCCAGTCAGCCTCCAGAGGGGATGTGTTGATTTCTTCCTTCCTGTAGTCATTCACAGGTGGGCCTGGGCAGGATGTTTCCTGTGAGCTAAACAAAGGTATTTTAGCTTAAAGCTTATTACTTGGGAGGCAGGGTTCCCAGAGGTGGGCCATTATGTATAATTTAAGCTTATAGGCAACATCTCTTTAGTGATTAACTTGTAGCAAAAGCAATAGAATATAAAGGTTAAAGTGAAAGAAACAGATCTAATATGGAGTCAGATTTGTTCTTCCCTATTACAGCACCCCCACCAACATTATTTTGAAATAAATACCAGACGTGATTTCACCAGTAAGCATTTCACAGTGTATTTTTATTTATTTATTTATTTGTTTTGCGGTACGCAGGCCTCTCACTGTTGTGGCCTCTCCCGTTGCGGAGCACTGGCTCCGGACACGCAGGCTCAGCAGCCATGGCTCACGGGCCCAGCCGCTCCGCGGCATGTGGGATCTTCCCGGACCGGGGCACAAACCCGTGTCCCCTGCATCGGCAGGCGGACTCCCAAACACTGCACCACCAGGGAAGCCCCACAGTGTATTTTTAAAAGACAAGCATTCCCCTTTTAAAACATATCCCCCAGACTATCACCCACCTCCAAAACAATAATTTCCTAATATTATCAAGTATCAAATTAGTGTTTACATTTACCTGATTGACCTATAAATGTCATTTTTCAAATACAGTTTGTCTGAATTGAGATCCAGACCATACATTGCAACTGGTTAATATATCTCTTAAGTCTTTAAAAAAAAAAAAAGCTATGGTTTCCCTCTTCCTCTCTTTTTTGCTTGCAATTTCTTTCATTTCCTTTTTGTTTCATTTTTTTAAAATTTATTTATTTTATCTTTGGCGTTTGGTCTTTGTTGCTGCGTGCGGGCTTTCTCTAGTTACAGAAAGTGGGGGCTTCTCTTGTTGCGACCACGGGCTCTAGGAGCTCGGGCTTCAGTAGTTGTGGCACAC